CTCTAGTGTGCTTTTTGAGCAGCACCTTGACAGTGTATCTTGGCACACTCCCAAGTCATCTTCTGGCTCCCCATTGTTTCACTATGTCCAAGCACACAGCATCACAAATTTCCCTGGCCTGCTGGGAACCACAAGCTGTGTGCCACATGGGTGGGGTCAGGTTGCCACTACAGGCTTTGGAAAGCAGTTTTGTACTATGCCCACTTTGCTGTGGAAGTATTTCCCTTTAGCTTCATATACGTTATGCAAAGCACCGCATGTCACAATAAGCCAAAGTGCTTTGGCCACACTGGCATCCAGAGCATGGGAGGCATGTAATGGAGGCTGGGGGAGGAACCTCATGCCACGGTGTGGGGAGGGGCAGTGGCAGATTACCGAAGGGGCCCCGGCACAGAAACACCATATATAGTCATGTCATTTCAGGGAAATAAAGTCCTCTATTTTGTTCTGCAGTACAGCCCTGAACCACCCTGGTGTCATGGACCTTTCCCATGTGTTCTGCATTCATGTTCATGAACTGACTGCTTATGGCCTTGGAGAACCAGTGAATCCTAAACGTCACAGTTCATTTCTTCATTGGTCCCTTTCAATAGGCAAAGTATAGGTACATGCATTCTGTCGATGTATCCTGCACAGTTTGGAAAACCCATCCTCTTGCTATAATTTCAGGGAGTTGTGTTATGACAACTATCCATAGGTACGTCACAGTACTGATAGCCTGGCAAACCTGTGCAACCACCATTCCCACAGTTGACTTCTCAGCCCCGAACTGGTTGGTAACTGACAGGTGCTGTTAGCTTCCAAAGGGCAATAGCCACCTGCTTCTGCACTGGTATGGGTTTCCGAAAACAAGTGGTCTGGCACTGGTGGATTGGTGCAAGCTGCTCGCACAACTCCTTGAAGATCTGCTTCCTCCTTCTTCAGTTCTGCAGCCACTGGTCATCATCCCAGGTTTCACAGATGATGTGGTCCCACCACACTGTGCTGGGTCTCCAGGACCAGAAGTGGCAGTCAACCCATGGGCATGCCATTGCAATCCCAGCATTCAACACATCTACTGCAGGGGACTCATGTGAATTTTCAGTCCCCCTCTGGGTCAGCTGTCTTCGTTGTCTGAAATCTCTCTGGACCAATTCTGTCCAGTGTCTGATACTGGATGGTTCTGCTCACATGAACATTTGTCCAGTGAGCAGTAGCAGGAGCAGAACCACATCTTCATGGACTTGCTCTATGTATCCAACACAGTTTGGCAGAAGGGAGAGATGGCAGGGAGCTGCAGTCATCAAATGTGTGAAGGTGACATAGAGTTCCAGCAACATGTAGCAAAGCAATTCCTATAGCATCTCCTGTGATACAGGAGATGCAGTAGGATTGCCACCTTTTCCACAGACCAAAACTGGACATGCCACATCAGTTAATGGATATATTACTCCTGGGGGAATTCTGAGCCACTGCGCAATTCAGAATTTTGCAGAAGTTAATGTTGTGCGCGCAGAATTTCCTTTTCTGAACAGAAATGGGCTGCAGTGCAGCTAGCTACCACTAGGGACCACTGGCCCTGACAGATTCCCAGCTCGCACATAGAAGACACTGCTGTGGGGAGAGAGAGGGAGCTAGAGGGTTCCTGGCAGCTGCAGTTCCCAGCATGCCCTGAGGGAAGGAGACTGCAGTGTGCAGGAAACTCCATGCAAGCCTGGGACCGAGCATCAGTCTGTTTCTCCCTCTGGATCCCTGGGCTCTGGTGAAGAGGGGGCGGGTGTCTGGGCAAGGGGTGGGCCTGTGGCTGGGCTCTGGGGGGGAAGGGGTTGTGGGTCCAGTCCCTCTGGCTGGATTGGGGGAGACAGAAAAACAGGTACAGGGTTGTCATAGGGGTTTCTTTAACTCTCTACTTCTGGGGGAATTTTTGTGTGTGTCTGTATTGTTACGCAAATACTTGCTGACAGATATTTTGAAATAAATTACCGAAATAATTGAAACTGGTGTTATTATGTAGTGTTATTTTGACAAATAAATGTTGTAGAATTTTTAATTTTTTGGCAGAGAATTTTTATTTTTTGGTGCAGAATGTCCCCAGTAATATATATGTCAAAACAAGACAACAGAAAGTGCTAGGCTTAGCTACATGACATTTGAAGTTCAATGAATGAACAGTGCATATTTTCACGTTTAACGTATAACAACACCGAAACATAGAATGTATATTTCAGTACTAAACAACATATTGAAGCATTAAGGTTGTTGGCATTGCTTGTGTGTTTCACTTAAAACTGGACATCAGGACTTGTCAAATGGCACCCGGACACAGAGAAGCCAAAAGCCGGACTATTTGAGTAAAACCCGGATGAGTGGCAATCCTGGGACTCTGGGATACTGCCCTGACATGTTAGCACTAATGACGCATGCTGAAAGGGGCAGTGTGGATGAAGGTGTGGCGTATACTTCTTACCAGCACTGGATAGGTGGACACGCAGTGTATCCCTAGTTGTCACCTACCAACCGACACTCAACCCTATAAGAGTATCACCAAACAAATGCAGCCCATTCTTGATGGGAACCACATTTTGAAAGAAATCTTTCCCCAACCCTCATCTTCTGGCCATCAAACAGCCTCCCTACCTTGCGAAGCTTACCATCAGAAGCAAGCTTCCCAAAGACTACCGCACACCAGCTCAAAGCACCTGCCAGAACAACAGATGCAAAGCCTGCAGGCATATCTCCATTGTTATGATAATCAATATCCTCACCACCACAAAACACTTTTCAAGATCCATGTTTCCTATATATCCCAATCACAACATGTGGTATACCTCATCCAGTGCATCAAAAGCCCCAAAAACTATGTGGGTGAAACCAAATAATCACTATACTCACGAATGAACCTATGCAGAAAAATGATAAAGGACAAAAATGCTCTGTCACCCATGGGTGAACACACTTTCACAAAGCAATCACTCCATATCTGATCAGTCCTCATCCTCAAAGGACACTTGCATAATACCTTCAAAAGATGAGTCTGGGAACTTAATTCATAATTCTGCTAGACACTAAATGTCCTGGCTTCAACAGAGACACTGATTTTATGGCTCTTTACAACAATTTGTAACCTACTAATCCTCCTTTGTCCTATGACTGTAGTGGTGTTAATTGCCCACTTCATTTCAAGGAGTTTCTTGCAACATGTGTTAACCCCTTATGCTTAACCATCTGTTCCATCTTGTATTCAGCTGTGACTCTCCGGTTACCTTTTCCAAACCTGACTCTGTGAAGCATGAAAGTTCTCTCTTCCACCAATTTTCCCTACAATTTTTATCTCACCCACCTTGTCTCTCTCATACTTTGGGACCAACACACTACAAAGAACCTTTGAGGCAGGCTACTGAAGGCCGACTACCCTGACTCCCAGCCTTAAAAGTTTTGATTTTTTTTTTGCGATAATGATATTTTCCATCAGAAAATTCTCGACCAGCTCTACACATTTCTTTCAGTTAACTGTCCACACCAACCCTATTCCAATGCCTGACCATAAACTCTTCACAGGAAGCAAAACAAACTCAAAAATGATCTTTAATTTTTGCAACTCTTGATTGTTAACTTTTGTAACTCCGCTCCACTACCACTGTCAGAATGTTGTGTACATTCACTGTGTTATTCCTTTAGATTATAAACGTTTTGAGTTGGGGGTCCTTCCTTCTTATTTTTCTGTAGAGCATCATATCCACCCATGACACCATACAAATAATAGATAATTTACAAACATTAAGTGCTATAAAACTGTTGGTATTAAAACACATTTTGACATACATGTATACAACATGGCAGGAATAATAATAATAATAAAAACCCTAGGCTGTCACTTGTCCTTTTTAAATCTGTAGAATCATTTTCTCCCCACTGTAACTAACATACGGCTATATTTCTGTGGCTAAGCAAATAAGACATTAAGCTAATTTTCACATTGTTTCTGTGTCTCAGTGGATAGTATGGATTTCTCACATCTCTAATTAAAACTGTTTTCCACTTAGTGTTTACATTGAACACTTGGAGTTAACGTGTTTTTTTTTTTAAACTGAAAACAGATTAATTGCTATACATGGCAAAACCTTGGGTACATTTAGAATATTATTTGCACGCTAGATTAATAATTAACTCTACAGTGGACACTGTAGAAGCAAAAAGAAAAGGAGTACTTGTGGCACCTTAGAGACTAACCAATTTATTTGAGCATAAGCTTTCGTGAGCTACAGCTCACTTCATCGGCTGTAGAAGCAAAGATTGTAACCTTGTTTATATTTAGTTTGGCAGAATTTATTATTTTTTTTTATAATGTTGATGGATAATATCAATGTTTATTTTTAAGCTTTTTTATTGTTATTTATTTAAATGTTAACAGTATGCAGAAATTATGGGAAGGCCAGACAATGGGGAGTATCAGACAATAATTATTTAATGACAGTAGATATTGAGATTCAAAACGTTAAAGTTTTATCACCGTTAAAACACAAATTGTCAACATCATATGTCAAAATATACAAAGTAAATATTCTTAAATCAAACTCTAAGTTCTCAAGCAGCATTTTTCTTACTTGGCTGATATGTATATTTTCATGATCAATGGAAATATATTTTTGTCGGTTTGTGTGTGTGTATACAGTGAAATTGACATTTAATGACATTTACCGATAAAAATCTAATCCTTCCAAACCTATTTATATTCACCCAATACTGTAAATTTACTTACCTCCAGCACATATTTCTCTAGAGACAATCATATTTTTATCATAATTTTCTATGAAGCTGATGCATTTCTTCTGAGTGGTGATTCTGTAATGCAGTTCATACTGTAAAATTTATATGGTACAGATCCTCAGCTGATGACTTAAATGGAGCTATGCCAATATATACCAGCTGAGAATCTGGCGCATAATTGATAATGATGTTCCAAAAAGACAGATGACTGTTTATACCACAAAAGAATATGGTGCAAAAGTATCTGAACTTACCAGGCAGATGAACTCTGAAAAGACATCAATGGTGGGTTCAAAGCATCTCCTTTTAAAGTATGTACTGCCTGTGACATCTGAGGCTGAGGCTGAGTCTGTACTTGGCTTGGATTCTGAGCAGGGTTAATCCATCGGCTCTGTGCCTGTGTCATCCACTTTCCCTGGATTCCCCACCTTGCCAGGTAAAATTTGCAAATATCGTAGTTCATTGATGAGTAATATAAAAGGTCCAGTACCAGCAAGATCACAACAAAAAAGCCATAGATCCACACTCCTAACAATGCAGTGTAATTGCTGGGGAGGAGGGGAAAAAAAAGAAAACAACAAAGGAAATGATTTAACAGATCATTCACTGTCATCACTCTATTTATCAGGGTTTTTTGTTTGCTGGTTTGTTTGTTTTAAAAATAATCTGGATTTTCATCTAAGAGGAGCAGGTCTTTTTGGTAGAGTAGGGTTAAGAGAGTGGTTACCCAAAATGCTGCATTTCACTAGTATTAAGTACATCAAAACTCAACATTACAAAGACCAGTGATTTTATAATACAATTCATTCAATAAGTACAGAGGTGAAAACACATAGTAAGCTTACGTGTAAATGTTGGCATAGCTATAACATATATATGAGTGGTTTCAGAGTAGCAGCCGTGTTAGTCTGTATTCGCAAAAAGAAAAGGAGTACTTGTGGCACCTTAGAGACTAACAATTTTGTTTGAGCATAAGATTTCATGAGCTATAGCTCACTTCTGTAGCTCACGAAAGCTTATGCTCAAATAAATTTGTTAGTCTCTAAGGTGCCACAAGACCTCCTTTTACATATATGAGTAAGGATCAGGATGGTTACCACCCTGTCATTGGCTTATAAAAAAAGTGCCTCAGAAAGCTTAATTGAATAAAGACAGAACAGAATGAGTAAAGATATCAAATAAAGTGAGAGAGAATAGTAGGGAGATAAAAGCAAAGGAGAGTGAAAACACTGTTGAGACAGCAAGTTTAGCTGTTTTTTTAAAAACCGATTGTTAGGTCTATTGGCAATTGGTATGGGAGACTGGGGATTGGGAAAGAATTAGGCTAAAACAAACGTGCAGGTTTTGAGGAGGAATTTAAAGTGGGAGAATGGAGGTTGTTAGGTGTATGGCGTAGGAAGGTCGTTCCAGACAAAAGGCCTGGTGTGATTGAAAAAATGCAGAGCAGAAGTGGGAAAAGAAAAGGAAGCAAAAGGAGTAGTAGATAGAGATGCAGAGTCTTGAAAACCACATAAAGAATTGCAATATGGCCCCCAAGCAATGCTTTAGGCATACATCATTTACGGGAATTACAAATTATATAAACCTGCCATTCAACCACCAGCACCCTGTTGAAAGCAGGGAAAGCAATGAATGTATAAGTTACAGCTGGTGAGAGAAACTTCGACAGAACCACATTCCAACAGAATATGCAGTTCTGCTGAAATCTATGTGTTCTGTCAAATTGGGTTGATTTCCCCCAAATTTTGTTATGGAAGAAAAACCAGGAAAAATGCTAACAATGTTGAAATGTCCCATTCTGCAGTTTCAGAAGAAACTATTTGGAATTCGTGTTTTGAAATGACTGTTTTGAATGGTTAAATACTTTGTATTAATGACATATAATGTAAAACAAAAAAGTTGAAGTTGAAACAAAATGCTTTGTTTCCAGAATTGTTCCTTTGTTGATGATAATTTTGAAATGTTTGGTTTTCGATCTGATTTGGGACAAAGCCAAATTTCAAAAAAAAATCTCAAAAATCCTTTGCAAAAATGATATGCTATCCTCAACCCAGCTCTATATTCAGTGATTTACTTCATTGAGCTATTCTGTGTTGGACGGGGTGGAGTCTTTGTAAGCAGTTCAAGGCAGCATCTGACTTCTTTTTATATGTTTGTAAAACCTGGAGGGGAGAGGGGGGCATCTCATGCACGATTGGCCTGACCCATCTCCCACTGTAGTTAATGGGGAGTCTTTCAAGGGGAATTTTGCCTCTGTTAGGGTTCAGGCTCTTAAATGCAAAAAATATCTAAAGACTAAGCAGTGGTATGATTCAAAGCCCAAAAACATGTGCTTGTGAACCAATGTAGTATGTTGTACCTGAGATTTACTGTGGTAGCCTGAAAACGCAATGCTTTTCTCCTGTATTTCTGTCAATGCTTCCCCTATCATATAATGAAACTGCATTATCAATTTTGTACATTTCTATGTTATTCTAGACACACATGCGCACACACACACACTATGGCTGGACACCACAATTTGCCTTAAAAGGCAATCAAAAAATGAAAGCATTTTGAAGGCAGATTTTGATATCCAGGAAGTAGGGGAGAAAAGATTCAAGAACATGCTCATAAATTTAATTTTGTTTTAAATCAAAATTTCAGGGACGATTCTGAGTTCTTGTCACATCAAGATTTAAAGGGCCCAATTCGCCACTCGTTTATCACGGATTTACACTAGTGTAACTGTAGTGACTTCAGTGAAGGTAACACTAGTATAAAGCAGGTGCTAAAAAGAGGAGGAACAGGCCCCTTAATGGATCCTATTAGCATGTAGCTTTAAAATTTCAAATAAACACTGGGTATTTAATGCTGGGATTTCCAGTAGTGTTTAGTACTAAATCTTCAGTGGGAATAGAGGTAGACCAATGCTAAGTGTTTTTGAAAATCCCATCTGATCCTCTAAAAGGCCTGTTCCTGTGAAGACTTGTGCATGTGCTTAACTTTATGAACTATGAGTAGTCTCTCGTAATTTTTGTAAGTCTTTGCAGGACTGGAGCCTAAAATATAACCTGAGAGGTTTGGGCAAAGATTTTCAATGGCATTGCTCCTGATTTTTCCGTGGATATACTCTTGTTTACACTGGTAAAACTCTGGAGTCACTCCATTAGAAAATGAAAGGGGAGTCGGGCGTGAAGAATTCAGGATGAGCTCCACAAGGAGAAATCCTGTTCATTGTAACCATTGAATCTCAGTGAAGTCCCCAGGACCACTTCTGGGAACAGAATTTGGCCCACAGTGGGGAGGACAATGTATTTTTGTTTCCCATAAAGTTAGAAATCATGTAATTTATATGCTAGCAAGAACTTGTAGGCAGGAACGTTACCTTCTCTTCTAGTTGTTTCATATGGACATTTTTATGGTTGTGTTTAGGAATTTGTTTTGTTCATTAAAAATCGCTTAGTGAAAAATTAGGTCTATTTTGAGCACTGCAATTTAAAGCACCAATTTATTAATCATGCTGTATGTGAGTTCTCCATCTGTTCCTTGTAAATAACAGCTGTTTCTGACAAGTACAAAAATGAAAGTGCATTATTTTAATTAAGATATAGTGGGACAACAGCATTGTTGAAGAAGCCTTGTGCAAATCACAGGCAATTAATAAATTATATGGGTTGTTCACAGGGAGAAACTCTATACATTGGTATGGTTTGTTAAATATTATGATGGTGGAAAATATTAACTTTAATATTGAAATTAAAGCTTTCACATACATCAAGAAAAAATAATACTATGAAAAAATGTGAAGCCAGGTAGACAAGCCCTAAGTTTCACATTTCTAGTTAGTTTCACTACTCTCTAGTTCTCCTGTGCTTTCGCATGGATGCATTATCTGGGTTGCAAGGAACTATTTTAATTTATATCAATATTCACATCCAGGTTTACATATGGATTTCAAATCTCAGTAAGATTCAGGGTTATTTCGATTCAGTCCATTACAGAAATTCCCTAGTCAAGCAATTCTGATGTGTGTTATTGTCCAGATTTGAAATCATGTTCTTTACCCTCGTTTCCCTGTGTCTTCCTAAGAAGTGCAAAGGTTTTCATTTTGAAGGTTCCTCTTCAGGCCCTTCACTAATTTTAATAATACAATACCTAAATCTGGACCATAAATTACCTGACAGCATTCTTTTAACCCACTAACTAGAAGCAGATTAACTCATTGGCCTATTAGGAAAGCTCAATGACCCAATACTTTGGCTTTCATTCTAATACAATATAGGCTTGATCCAAAGTCCATTTGAAGTCAATGGAAAGACCTAGGCTATGGCTACACTAGAGACCTTACAGCAGCACAGCTGCACTGATGCAGCTGTAAGATCTCTAGTGTAGCCCTTCTAAGCCAGCGGGAGAGAGCTCTCCATCAACTTAATTAATCTGCCCCCAATGAGTGGTGGTAGCTATCTCAGCAGGAGAATCTGTCCATGCTGGTACTTAGGTCAGTGTAACTTCTGTCGCTCCGGGGAGTGGCTTAGTCACAACCCTGAGTGACATATGCTATACTGACATATAGCCTCAGAGGGTATGTCTACACCGCAATTAAACACCCGTGGCTGGCCCATGCCAGTTGACTTGGTCTCGCAGGGCTCGGCTAAGGGACTGTTTAACTGTGGTGTAGATGTTCAGGTGGGAGGGTCCCAGAGCGTCTACACCACAGTTAAACAGCCTATTAGCCTAAGCACTGTGAGTCCGAGTCAGCTGGCATGGGAGGTGTCTAATTGCAGTGTAGACTTACCCTGCGTAATTTCAGTGGACTTTGAATCAGGACTTGTGAGAATGGGAAATACTTTTCTTCCTCATCTCCACCCCTTCCAATTGCAGAAGCCTACTTAGATTTTTACTTTGGGCCCTAGATGCAAAAGGGGCAGTCACTCTTGTTGTTCCTCCTTCCCAAGCTAATTTTGCACCAGGTCCCGAGACTCTTTAGTCAACTAGCAAGCACGATTGGACCAGAGCATTTTTAAAAAAAATCAGAATCAGTAGCTTCTATTTGGCATATATGAGCCTATGTGGAAAAATCAGGGAATCCACAATTCTGTCTTTTTAAAAAACACTTGCAAACAGCTCAATGTAGCTGTATAATTTATATGTAGGCAAACAGCCATAGAGAATGTTGTTTTCTGGACAAGGCTGATAATTACAGTAGCAATGCATTTCAAATTCTTTCTCTCAACCATACACAGATGGCTGATGGTGGTTAGATACCTGTATAACTGAGGATACAAGTGAGTATTTTGACGTGTACTTCTTATGTATGACCTTTCCTAATTATATTTATCATATATGTTACAGAAAGAAAGGTCCCTAGAGCTACCTTTACGTTTTCTAGAGAGCCCATCAGTGTGGTACCTAAAGGCTGAATCCATAAAGTGATTTAGGCACCTAACTACCGCTGTAGGCTCCTGAGCCCAACATTTAGGCACCACTGAGATCCTCAAAACCCCTGTTCTGCTGGTGGGCATGATCAAAACTGCCCGAGTCCTAATGGTGCTGAGCCGCTTGGCAC